GCTGCGCGGCTCTTGCTGCGTCCCCTGCGTGCGGAGCGCGAGGGCGTCTCGAGACTCGCCTCCTCCGCTGCGGCTGCGGCTGCACTGCGCAGGTCGGATCCCGACGCGGCGTGGCGCAGGCGCGAGCGCGGCTTCTTGGCCACACGCCGATTCGAGATGATGATGCCGTCGCGCGCGGGCGACCACGAGGCAGGTTCGAACTCGCCACCTTCGAGCGCCAGCTCCTTGGGCGATGAGATGCCGCGCGGCGAAGAGACGGTGAGCTTGGGTGGTGTGGCGCGCCTCGATAGGCGCGGACTGATCTGTCCCGCCGTCGTGTCCACCTCGACGGCGTCCGAGCCACTGGCTTGCGCGCTGGGTGTAGATGCGCTCGAGACGGTGCGGCGCTCGCGCATGATCTTGCCGAGCACCTCGACGCTCTTCATGCGTCGCAGGCTGAGATGCGTGGGGCGTGTGCAGGAGCCGTTGCGCGGCGCAACCGCTGGATCGGTCGAGAGGAACGGCAGTGCAGGCCCGGACAGCAGCTTGGCTAGCGCTGCGTCTGCGCTTATAGCAGCAGTGACACATGGCGCCTTGCCTTCCATGCCAGCGTCGGCTTCGGGCAGAGCTGCTTCATCCGCCTCTGCTGCAGCTTTCGCGGCAGCAGCAGCCTCGCGCCGCATTCGCGACTGGTCCATCATGGCCTGCAGGTCGCCGAGCGATTCTCGCCATGCTGCGCGCTCTTGTCTCCATTTGCGCTGCTGGGTGGGGCTGCCTTGCGACTTGGACGCGTTGCTGGCGGATGGCTTTTTGGTGGGACTGGCAAAGGCATCGACGAGACCAGGCCGCCTCGGCTTGGCTGCGTTAGAACTTCCCTTTTGAAGCGCCTGCCACTCTCGCTCTGCGGCGGCGTCGTCAGTGAGGACAGTGCTAGGGATGCTGGAGGTGGCGGCGCCCTTGCGTACGGGGGCGGTGTGCGATCTGGATCCGCGGTAGGCGACACTGGCGGTCCAGACGGCGTTGTGTGATGCGGTCTTTTTCGCGGCTATGGATGGCGGAGCGCGGGACGATGATGCTGTTGCTGAAGTGGATTGTGTGCGATGGGATGAAGAGCACTCGCCGATGGCAGCGTGATCCGAGGCTTGCGAAACGGACGCAGAGGTTGCCGATGATATCGACGGAGCGCTGAATGCAGGATCACTGACGATGGTGCCCGGTCCGCCAAAGAACCAGATGCTGGAGAACCAGCTGCTGGATTGTACGGGGTGGGCTGCAGGAAGCGGAGGTGGCGAAGATGCGTCTGCAGCGAGCTTGTACCTGCGCGAGGGTAAGCTCTTGCTTGTGGAGGCAGCGGATCGGTGTACGGCTCGACGGAGCTCGGAGGCAGCGAGTGAGGGTGAGTCGGAGGAAAAGTCGTCGACCATCCTGGGTTTGCGCGGCGGCGTGGCGAGCTTGTTGGCCAACATGCCTGCGAGTGAGTGGCGGTCGGGTGTGACGACGCGGGTCTCTTTGTATCCGGCTCGCTCGAGGAGGTCTTGGAGGCTGTCGAAGCGAGAGTCGCTGTCGTCGTTTGTGGGGAGGCGTGGGAGCGATGCTGGAGTGTCGTTGGGTGAGGAGGTGTAGGAGGTATGCTTGAATGACGGAGGAGTTTGTTGGCTGCAAAGAGTGTCTGGAGAGGAGGTGTGGCTGGAGCTGCTGGCGCTACGCGCGCTGAAGACGCGATCGAGAGACGAGTTTGTGGTGGTGTCCGATGGGGACGGAGACGAGGAGAGGACCTCAAAGGAGTGGTGTTTGCGGGGAGGGTTGGCTC